TAATTATTTAAAATGTAAAGTTTACATAAAGTTAAAGCGTAAAAAAGAAGATTGAGTGATGTAAAAGTTAAAATAAAAATTAAAGAAGTAGAAAGGGTGCATTTCAGGACTCGGGGCAGGGCAGGAGTTGCTCAGGGCCCCCAAATCACTAAATCCGCCCCTGCCTATGGACACACACCTCGGTCATCATGAGACACGAGCACACGCTGAGAAACACACGCGCGCGCACACACACACTTACCGGGGAAAGTGACCGCTCCGGAGTTCAGCACATGTTCTGCGGGCAGCGCTGGTGATGACGGGCCGCTCTGCAGCTCTGAAACACAGACACACAATTCAGAAACTCTCCTCAGAGTCGGTGCTGCCGGTCTGAGCTGAGCCCGCGGTGCGACTCCGACAAACAAACTTCACCTGCGGAGCTGCACCTGTCCTCACCTGCGCGTGCGCCGCTCATCTCGGCCGTTTTACGGTCTCTCCTCCACCAGCGTTCTCATATGAAGCGCTCAGGGAAACTTTACAGTGAACTTGTGCAGCGGCGCCGGGATACGGGCAGAAACGGAGAGTGAGCGCGAGTTTCCGCCATGTTGAGCTCATTCAGCGGCTGGGCGATCGGAGCTGCTGGCAGCAGATCTCATTTATAATGTAGAGCATGTGGGCGGGGCCACGGCCAAACCGCGCCCACAAACACACGCACACACACACACGCGCGCGCGTCAAAACAATGAGCAGTGCCCCTTCACACTGTTTATTAAACACAAAACATTTAACATTAAAGTCATACCTGGCCCATTTACATATTTACTAATTAATTTAATATAAGTTATTATTGCCAACATAATCAGACGCATCAGTACTGATATTAAAGGGACAGTTCACTCCAAACTAAACATGTCTTCACTATTTACTCGTCCTCAAGTCGTTTGTGTGCGTCTTTCATTCTGTTGAATACAAATCTATTTTGAGGAAAGCTATAAATCTGTAACCATTGACTTTCAGATGTAAGATGGTTCCCCGTCTCCAGCATTCCTCTAAATATCTTCCTTTGTGTTCTTTGAATTAAGACATTTACTCTGAGGAAGCTCAGTAAAGTTAGTCATGGCTCAGCTTTCAGACACATCATACTGCAGACATCCTGACAGAACAGGAAAATCCAGCATTCAGCAACACTCGGGTCATACCACACTACTGCTGTGAGAAACACTGGAGGAGCTGCAGCATCTCATGATGAACCACACACACACACACACACACACACACACACACACACACACACACCCACCCACACACACACACACACACACACCCACACACACACACACACACACAGCCTCATTCTCTCTCACACACGCACACACATAGCCTTATCCATAATGTGAGAATGTGAGATTGTGAGTGAGTGAGTGAGTGAGGTTGTGTGAAACGATGTCTCAGTTTCAGTCAGCTCTCTTCTTCACCCGTCTTTCTGTCAGAGGCGCACACACACACACACACACACACACACACAGCTCTGATGTCCAAAACTGGAATCACTGGTTTGGAAAGTTGTGATTCCTCAGAAAGTGATCGTGTGAGGATGTAATGTCAGCTCAGATGACACACACACACACACACACACACACACACACACACACACACACACACACACAACCTGTGCTGCTCTTGTGGATTCACATATCACTCACTGTCCTCATCAAATCGGTCAAGATGAAGACATGATCAGATTTTATTGTGTCAAATCAGCAAAATCTAGAGGCCTTCACCTTTCATAGAGACACTTCTGACACTAAATCAGCAACTATAAGAGCAGATATTATCTGTGTTCATAAAACATGGATCAGCCACAAGACTACTGTCAGGTAGGGTGTGTGTGTGTGTGTGTGAGAAAGCCATTCTTCATGTGCACTTTTATCCTTGTGAAGTTGAGTAAAACCTTGTTCAAAATGACGTAACACCGCCTCAATAGTTTAAACAGTTTGTCCAGTTTTAGACCTGTAAGAACTCAGATGAGGAGAGGAGCATTTCACCATCATGAACTGAACACAGGTCAATTCCAGCACAGCTCTATATACAGCTTATATCAAACTGAAGTAAATGATGACCCTCAAACATTGTTTAAGATCAGTTCTGTATCTAGTTTAACTAATCTTTCCCTACTGTAAATAATAATTATAGATTTATGAATGAAATAAATGAGCTGTGTGCTGAATTGTACAGCTGTCACACTCTAACATTCAATATTCATTTGGTTAGGAGCTCATTAGAAAATAAATAAACTAAATTTGTATATTAATTAGAGTATGCACTCATACACTCTGAACACACTCTGAAAGAGAATGTGTGATGAGAACTTTTTAATAATTAGTTATAAACGTGTGTGTGTGTGTGTGTGTGTGTGTGTGTGTGTGTGTGTGTTGATGGAAATTACATTTCAACAGTTTATTGTGAAAAAATGAAGAATATCTTCAGCGATGAGCTTTGAGTTGATGCTGGTCTTTCATGTCTGCAAAACACTCTGATTTACCTTCATTTTGTTTGATTTTAATCTTTGAAGGTACAGCATGTTTGGAGAATAAATGCATTTCCTTATCAAACACTATTTACCTTGATTTTTCTTCAAGTGTTGATAAGTGTAAATGTTCCTCCATCTTGAAGATGTTCAGATGACACTGTTCACTTTCAGAGAAACCGCCTCAATAATCTCTCACACACACACACACACACACACACACACACGGTTAAAGGCACATTACAGTGCTGAAATGACACTGATACTGCGACAGCTGCATTTTGTATAAATAATAATATTGATGACAGTCTCACATTAATAACTACACAATATTTAACTTATTTCACTGCTGCTTCATTAACAGACACCAGATAAATCATATTTTATAATGTTATTTATAACTCTGGGTGTGCAACAAGGCGAAAACACCTAAAAGGAGGTTAAATAATATAAAAATATTTAACAGAAAGCTGGGGCATTATTAAAGTTGGTTTTAATGTTAGTTTGACAGAAAGAGGAATTTGAACAAAATAATAGATGTTTTTGGATATATGATTAAAACACATAACAGTGCCCGTAGTTGAACAATTACCCATATAAATAAGTCCACACACACACAATTACTCTGCTTTTCTTAGTTTATACCTTATATTGAACTAATTTCTCATGATTGTTCCTCTTTAGTATAAATATAAAGTAGAATATAATTATTCTGCACACTGTATATGACTTTGCTCTGCATTTATACAGCTATTGAATACAGGCACAGTATTAAAGTAAGTGTATTATAGGAAACTGTGATTAAATTATATACAAGTAAAAAGTCATTCTTTACTCTCCCTGTTTAGTGGAAAAGTAATTTAATTACAGTAACTAGTTACCTCCTAACTGATTACACCTGACACTGAGCGTGTGTGAGTGTGTGTGTGTGTGTGTGTGCTCAGCTGTGTTGAGTCAAAAAGGAGCAACACTGCCTCCTTTTGGAGAAACACCTGCACACACACATTTGTAAACACACCAGCAGTGTCTGTGCTGATCTGTGTTTGTGTGTGTGTCTGCTCCAGCAGCTGACTGCATGCAGTGCTTTAATACCGTCACCAGCTCTATTGAGTACATGTCTGAAACTGCAGCCAGACTATTAACTGATGCATTTTTCTTTGGGGCGACGCAGTGGCGCAGTAGGTAGTGCTGTCGCCTCACAGCAAGAAGGTCGCTGGTTCGAGCCTCAGCTGGCTCAGTTGGTGTTTCTGTGTGGAGTTTGCATGTTCTCCCCGTGTTGGCGTGGGCTTCCTCCGGGTGCTCATCAGCAGTCACCACAAAGGAGTGAACCACCAAATATTCCAGGATGCCTTTCACTGCAACCCAGTACTGGGAAACCCCCATACACTCACATTTACACACACACACACACACACACTCAAACACTATGGTCAATTAAGTTAACCAATGAACCTATACACCGCATGTGTTTGGACTGTGAGAGAAACCCGGGAATGTTCTCATCCAAAATATCAGGCCATCAGGGGAAATACCCACACGACATGCTCATAGAGGAGGACACGACTAACATCAAACCACTGAGGAAAACTGATCAATCTTAAAGTATTTATTTGAAAATATGTTTGCCAATTATACAGTTATTTACACATTTATCCAGTATTATACAGCTCAAACATTTCCCTCATGTGTTTATGGTTAGTTTGCTCTTCTAATTGCATGTTTTGTTGCATTATTTTATTTATAATTATTCAGGATTATTCTATACCTTAAATCTTCCCTGACTCTCAGTGGAAGACAGAAACTGAGCAAACTACCAACCGTACTGAACAGAAAGAGTTTCCTCACAGCACATGTGAGGACAAACACTGAATCTTGAACACACACAGTGCAAAAAGAGGAGAACCACAACACGTCCAGCTCATGATCATCAACAAACACAAACGAGCGCTCGGGTAGATCATTCGGCTGGTTTGATGATGAAGATGAAGCTCTCAGTCCCATCTGGAGGTCCTCCTCCTCATGTAGGTCTCTCCATCGCTGTCCACGGCCTCATACAGCTGCTGGTCGCTGTCTCTGATGGCGTGAAGATAACCCAGATAGCCCACACACACGGACAGAGCCAGCAGACCCAGAGCCATCACCGGCTTATTCTGCACACACACACACACACACACACACACTTAAAAACAATTGCACTCAGAACAGGATTAACGTCTGTTATATGAAAAAATATTATACACTCACTGGCCACTTTATTAGGTACACCTGTCCAACTGCTCATCACATGGCAGCAGCTCACTGCATTTCGGCATGTAGACATGGGCAAGACCATCTGCTGCAGGTCAAAGCATCAGAATGGAGAAGAAAAGGGATTTAGTGACTGCTGCCGTGTGATTGGCTGATTAGACATTTGCTTTAACGAGCAGTTGGACAGGTGTACCTAATAAAGTGGCCGGTGAGTGGACAATCGTGCAGCAATAATCGGCACATCACAGACATGCAGAACATTATTTAGTGTACACTAGTGGAGAAATTAAACAATGGAGAAGTCCTCAAACACAACAGAGCCCAGTTCAAGTTAAACCCAGATCCAGACTATCCCATTATTCCTCTCACTTGATCTTTTCTCAGTAATTCTGTTGCACTGTAGAAGCTCTGTCACAAAAACTAATTCCTCGTATGCGCAAACATACCTGTCAATAAAGCTCTTTCTGATTCTGTTTTTTTGCGGTTTTATTTTTGATATTATATTATTTATTACACATCAGTCAATACTGAACGGCATGTCAATCAGTACTGTCATTCTTAAATGTGTGTTGGTGAAGAATCAAAACAAACAAACTTGTATAATATCACGGTTATGACGCGCGTGTTATTGGAAAAGGCGACTTTTGAGCACATATTATGCATGTCCACATTTTTCTAAATGTCTAATAACTCACAGTAAATGTTCTTATATGATTTCAAATTGCAGTTTCCTGTGAGTGTGGACAATTCACAAAAACAAATATGAGCGCGTGTGTGTGTGTGTGTGTGTGTGTGTGTGTTTTGGTCTTGTTTTGGTCATTGCATTGACACATCAATAATAATGTGTGTATAATGACATTGGTATGACCTAGGTATTACAGCATTGAGGTGGTTTATGAGGACATGTTTTTGTGTCCTTGTAATTCATAAACGCTTAATATACTTAACGGGGTCTTTTGACGAAACGAGGTCTGGGTTTAGGGGTATGACATTGAGGTAAAGTTGGTTTATTAATCGACTTTCTCCTTAATAATATAATTTCAGAAGAGTAGTTTGAAGATTCTAAATAGGGGAATCATGTGATAAGGCCAATAGTCAGAGTACAGCACTTCACAGTCAACTAAACAGTGCTAATGTTGATCTGAAGTGTCACATTCAGACCCACAATTCAGAGTACCATGGTAAACAATATCTGGAGCGAGTCACAAGCTGTCACTGCACGAATGTGCACATATAAAACCAACATTACCTCAACAGGCACCAAATAATAAGCTAGTTTTGCTGTATTAAATACATTACGCCAATGAAGAGTCCTCTTAAAGCACCAACACCAACATGTGTGTGTGAGACTCACAGGTCGGATGAACAGCTCCGGGTTGACGGCTCGGAACAGTGATGTGGTTCTGACCCCCCGCAGGCCCGGGCTCCTGTATGCCGGCTCCGCCGCGCTGCTGGGCGGCTCCTGCGGCCCGGATTTCCCGCTGCTGCTGCTGCTCTGCCCGGAGCTCATGCTGACACTGACCCGCTACAGCCAGCCGATCCTCTGCGCTTCTTCTATGCGGATCAACAGCGGCTCACTCCGCATTACCGCCACCTTCAGTCCTGTTACCGCTACAGAGAACAAGTTAATATTTACTCGTCAGTGTTTACTCGTCCTCACAGTCTGCCTCTGTCTTTCCTCAGTGTTTCCCGCAGCCATCATCTGTTCAGCGTTTCCATTCTGAGTTCACCAACTGACACTGAACATCGATGATCAGGCGTTATTTTGACCCACAGGAGGACAGAAGCCGGCGGAAACAGCGCACTCTGGGGGCACATAACACAACTGCAGTGGAATACATGTAAACAGCAGCCTGAGTAGTGTTCTGCATCATCACACTGAAGACTGTCCATCTGATCAGTGATATGTCCTGCTGTCAAACTCAATATAATACCCATCTATATGTGCACGCTCCACTCGGGGAGAGGATGTAAGTCTAATTAAATATCAATAACAAATCATTCATTCATCTTGCTTCTGCTTAGTGCCTTGTTTATCAGGGTTTGCCACAGTGGAATCAACCGCCAACTATTTCAGCATGTGTTTTACACATCTCCAGCTGCAATCCAGTACTGGGAAACACCCATACATTGGCACATGCACATTCATACAGCATCCACATAAAGCTCCTGAAAGCAAAGAAGGTCAAGCTGCTCCATGATTGGCCAGCCCAGTCACCAGATATGAACATTATTAAGCATGTCTGGAGTAAGAAGAAGGAGGAGGAGTTGAAGATGAACACAGAGTCTTGATGAAATCTAGGAGTACTGAGGGAACACTTTCTTTTCTCAGTAAATCAGAGTATCAGTGGCCAGCGTGACACACACTCATCTGTGTATGACAGCTGTAATGAGGGTTATGAGGGACAATATATGCAGAGTACTGTGCTGCTGATCATCTGTGCATAATGAGGGATTATAGTATCGGTCTCTGCCTGACAGTGTTGAACAGCAGCGTCTCCGTAACAGTATATCAGAGCTGATGAACACATCTCTTATTAATGCGCACACACACACACACACACACACACACACACACACACACACACACACACACACACACACACACACACACACACACACACACACACACACACACACACACACATCTCTCAGCATGGCTTAGTTTAAAACAGTATCTGTACAATAGCTTATGAACTTTTGTGTGTGTATGTGGATTACCTTGTAACTCTAATGTCCCCACAAATATAGCAATACCAGTACATTTTGACCTTGTGGGGACATTTTTTGGTCCTTGTGAGGAAACGGCTCATAAATCACACAGAATGAGGCAAGCTGAAGATGTCAAATGCAGAAGATTTCAGTCTGTACAGTAGAAATTGAGTTACAGCTGGTGTACAAGTGTGTGTACATTCAGGAAAACACCTCTCTCACTCTCACACACACACACACACACAACCACACAGGGTGTTTACACTGGAAACAGTGTCTGCGCATCAGCAAACAGATCTTGGCTGCTCTGATTGGCCAGAGATCAGCAGGTCTGCTATGGAAACCCAACAGGTGGAGCACCTGCGCAGGTGTGTTTGACTATCAAATGACACAAAACCACAGGAGTGAACATCAGGTGAGAAGCTCACTGATACACACGCACACACACAGACTTCATCATCCCACTGCTGTTCATCTGCACAGGAGCTCCAGGAGGAGGACTGAACACCTGAACATGTGCTGATGAAGACACGCTGCTGAAAACAGTGAGTAAAGCGCTCATCTTCAGGGTGTGTGTGTGTGTGTGAGGTGTGTGTGTGTGTGATGTCGGGCGTAGGAGTGTCCCAGCTTCAGTGCGCATGAGCAAACTCCACAGTGATCCTCCGGCATGATCGTCAGACGCTCTCCTCAGTTTCTGGTGTCATGGAGGAAGTGTTCAGTGGACAGGTCTTCTTCTTCTTCTTCTTCATCATCAGCTGAAGAGCCGCTTTCCTCTTTATAATATCACTGTTTTGCCTTTAGAACTGAAATAAAGACAATATTGAGTCATACTGTGCGGACACTGTAAAGCTGATAAGGCAAGGCAAACTTACACAACTCTTACACCATGATGAGTCAAAACAACAGGATTAAGAGTCATACAATACTCACACCAGAACTCTAGTCATACTCTGAGCATAGCTGCTTTATTCTACAGAGAATAGTAAGGCAGGTCATGGTCAACACAGGAGCGCAGCAGGAGCATGCAGGTTATCTAAAAGAGTAGTCCGTGGTCACAGGCAAAGAGATGAGTTCAGGCGGCAGACAACATGCAATAATTAACAATGCGAGGGTCTGAAAACAGGGCAAGACAATCCTACAGCGTATAAACCAAACAAGACTCAGCAATGTGTGCGGAAATGAGAGGTGTCTTTATAGTCCAGGTAATGAGTCAACGATGAGCTTCAGCTGTATGTCTGGAACAGCTGTGTGAGGTGCATGACAGGATTTGTAGTCCATTTGGTAGCAGATTTGTAGTTCTCCAGCAATCTGCAGTAGCTGGACCCCCGGTTGACTGTAACATTAGTATAGTGTGATCATGCTTATTCATTCATTCATCCGGCTTAATCACCGATTAATCAGATCACCAAAGCGGAATGAACTGCCAACTATTCCAGGATATATTTTACACAGCGGATGCCCATCCAGCTGCAACCCATCACTGGGAAACACCTATTCACACACACTACGGCCAGTTTAGTTGATCAGTTCCCCTATAGCGCATGTGTTTGGACTGAAACCAGAGCACCAGGAGGAAACCCACGCCAACACGGCGAGAACATGCAAACTCCACACAGAAACACCAACTGACCCAGCCGGGACTCAAACCAGAGACCTTCTTACTGTGAGGCGACTGTGCTGACCACAGCGCCACCTGTGAGCACACTATTTCTGAATACTGAAATGTGAGTTTGAGCTCTGCTTTACAGCTGAAAGTGGGTATGTTCATCATACGTTTAATTCTCCAACTGGATCTGGATGCAGACCTGGGTTTGCAAGCTGAGACTGCATATCTCAGAGATGCAATGTCAGACACAATGCACTCAATGGAGCAAATGAGGGGTCATTGTGGGGGGGGGGGGGGGGGGGGGGCATGCAGTGCAGGGACACTACTACGGAGGAAAAGTTAGGACGATTCTAGTCCCACAGAGTTACTATAAGTATTATAACTATAACTATTACATTACCTGCCCCCCCACCCAACAGCTCTTCACTTTAGTCAGCAACCTGATAACCCTAACCCCTGATAAATACTAAGCTGAATAAAAACGAGTGAATGACAAGAGACAAGTAATGTTCTCTGAGAGACTAGTGACGCCGCTGAGAGATTAATGATGTCCTCTAGCCGCAGATCTGCATCCAGAGCACAGGTCTTTTCAATAGTATCTGGATGCAGCCGTTATGATGCAAGCTGAGATTGCATCACACAGCGATGCAATGTCAGACACAATGCACCCAATGGACTGAGTGTTGTCACGGTGACGGGTAGGGTTAGGGGTGGGGTTAGGTGAGTGGATTAAAAAGCACTGGATGCAGCTCAGATTGCACTGCACCGAGTCTGCAGCCAGACTCCTCTCGGTCTTTTGACAACAGGAACAAACTTGCTGTGTAATCTGTCTTTGTGCTACGATCAGTTCTGTTTTACTAGCATGGCATAACTGCAAATGAAGCCTGACCTTATTCTTGCTGTGATCTTCAGATGACTGTCTTGATGGTTCTGCTGTGCTGTGGTCCTGATGCTCTTCTTCTGTGTCTCCGCAGCCGCTGTGTGAATCATGAACTGGGGTTTCCTGGAGAACGTGTTGAGCGGGGTGAACCGCTACTCCACCGTGGTGGGCCGGGTCTGGCTCTCCATCCTCTTCATCTTCCGCATCCTGGTGTTCGTGGCGGCCGCCGAGCAGGTGTGGAAGGACGAGTTCAAGGACTTCGTCTGCAACACGCAGCAGCCGGGCTGCGAGCAGGTGTGCTTCGACCACTTCTTCCCCATCTCTCAGGTGCGTCTGTGGGCGCTGCAGCTCATCATGGTGTCCACGCCGTCGCTGCTGGTGGCTCTGCACGTGGCCTACCGAGAGCACCGCGAGCGCAAACACAAGCGCAGGCTCTACCAGGACAAGGGCAGCATTGACGGCGGCCTGCTGTTCACGTACATCACCAGCCTGGTCCTCAAGACGTCTTTCGAGGTGGGCACGCTGCTGGCCTTCTACCTGCTGTACAGCGGTTTCCACGTGCCGCGGCTGCTGCGCTGCGCCGAGAGCCCCTGCCCCAACAGCGTGGACTGCTACATCGCCAGAGCCACCGAGAAGAAGATCTTCCTCTACATCATGGGCTGCACCTCCATCCTGTGCATCGCGCTCAACCTGCTGGAGATGGGCTACATCGTGTCCAAGCAGTGCTGGAAGAGCTTCAGCAAGAGATACACTCCGGTGCGGGATGGGGCCACTCGCCCGCCCTCCACCTTTACTCTCGGCCCACCGCAACCCTCATGCACAGCCAAGGAGGAGGGCGATCAGTCTGCGCCGGCGGGACAGGAGACAGCCTGAACACAGACTCACTAGCTGTGTGTCCACTGTCGGTCAGTGCAGGTCAGGCAGAGGGCGTAGATCTGCTCTTGACATTACACCACATTCACACGGGGCTCAGCGTCAACGCTTGACTGAGGGCGTTTCTGAAGTTGGGGCTGACGCAATCGTCATAGCAGCATCAGCCAATGAAATTCAGTCAGCAATCGGCCACTGTCTAGCTAGTGTATTTGCATACAGCGATCTGATTGGCTGAAGCTTCACTTAAAAGGTTCAGAAAGTCCCAACTTCTGCAGCGAGCAACACCTCTAAAGCAGTGCCAACGGATCCACAATGCAGTTCAGAAACGCCTGACGTCACGTATTCAAAGTGAATGGGAAGCGTTGACGCTGGCGCCCCGTGTGAATGGGGTGTAAGTGTGGACGCACATGCATAGAGCAGCACAAACTCTCTTTCACACTTTTAATAAACATGACTAATGCCTCATCCACACTAGCAGCGGCTTCATAGCTGACTGTCGCTCTGGGTGGAGACCTGCGGCAATGTGTGGGACTCGGTGCTTGTGAATTGCGAAGACCCAAGACGATTGACTTCCATCCAGTAGTAGTAAGACTAATACTATGGCAGTCAATGGTTAGCGGTCTTCAGCATTCTTCTAAATATCTTCTTCAGTGTTCATGAAGGTTTGGAACTAGCGAGTAAATGAGGACAGACTCTTCAGGTTTGGGGGAACTGCATGTGTCTTTAGCTGAAACTAACAGCAGAAATATAGATATATTTGATAGTTTGACTGCAGATATCTGACGTCTGCCAGTTGCAGAGACTCTCACTTTGACTTTCTGAAATCAGTTTAATGTTAATGTATGTGTGGAGCAGTCCTAAATGTTCATTTTATTTAAATGTATATGTAAATAAGACGAGAAAGCTGGATTCAGCTGTTGTTGTTTTATGATTGGTCAATATTTTCCTGATATACAACTATTAGACAATCTGCAATATGAGGATCAGAAAACATCTAAACAACGAGGAAATACAGGTGTTCATATTGAGTTCTGGGCGGCACGCTGGTTAGCACTGTGGCCTCACAGCAAGAAGGTCACTGGTTTGAGTCTCGGCTGGGTCAGTTGGTGTTTCTGTGTGGAGTTTGCATGTTCTCCCCGTGTTGGCGTGGGTTTCCTCCGGTTTCCCCCACAGTCCAAACACATGCGGTACAGGTGAATTGGGTAGGCTAAATTGTCCGTAGTGTATGTGTGTGAGTGTGGGTGTTTCCCAGAGATGGGTTGCGGCTGGAAGGGCATCCGGTGCATAAAAAACTTGCTGGATAAGTTGGTGGTTCGTTCCACTGTGGTGACCCCAGATTAATATTGTGACTAAGCCAACAAGAAAATGAATGAATGAATAATTGAACGGTTGCCCTAAATTCTTAAGTAAAAAATACTTTAAAAACTTGAGTAAGCTCTACTTAAAAGATAAGAGTTATTCTAATGTGTCCTATAAGTTAAATACACGTAATGCTTTTAATTAGTGTCAATTTACTTCACTTATCTTTGTTAATTGCATTAAAATAAACACAAAAGTAATACACAGAGATGATCTGTACTTAATATTTTGATTATTGGAATAAAACAAAACTCTTTGTACTTGCGCACTGTTATTTTGGCTGAATATTTCCATTATTTCAACTTAAGGATAAAGGTAAAATGGAGACGTCATGTTGATCATCAGATGAAATGTACTACAGTAACTGTACACACACTGACAGCATTATAAACGCACGCAGAGTCCACTTCAATGCTTCAAATCACTTGTGAAAATGTGTCTAATAATGATGGTCAGATATATATTAGTCAAGATGAGCGGTGTAAACACATCAGACATTCTGTGATCATCTTACATCTGATTCAGTTTTGAAAGATCTGGTTATTGTCAGACGGGCGAGTGCTGTGAGGGATGATGGAGAGTTCCAGATGTCAGTCAGTGACAGTTCATTAATGTATGCTCAAACTGTGAGTCTTGTCATGTCCTCAAATGGTTCTTCAATATTAATGCATTTATCTGTGCAGGATGAACATTTATATTAATGTAAACCAGATGAGATGATGGGAATGAATGTGTGTTGAACAGTTGTGCTGGATCAGAGTTTCTGGACAAAATCCTCATCTTTAAAACATGTTCAGCTCCACGTCTGAGCAGAACACCTGCAGTTACTGTTTAATAAGCAGATCTTTCTGTCCTCTCAATAGAATCTCATGGGTTTATATTTAAAGACAACATGTTTGCATTTTCATCAGTTACATGATCATCTCTTCATCATTTCCTCACTCAGTGGTGGTAAACTTCTGTTTCTTTCTTCTGTTAAACACAAAAGAAGATATTCAGAAGAATGCTGAAAGCCTGAAACCATCGACATCCATACAGGAAAAACCAATACCATGGAAATGAGCGGTCACCGGTTTCCAGCATTCTTCTAAACATCTGTATTTGTGTTCAACTCATGAAGGTTTGGAAGTTGCGAGTAAACGAGGACAGAATTGTCCTTTCATTAGTGTGAACTGACCCTTTCACTGAAAATAAATCCAGAAAAATTAACTTTAGATACTTTATTTAAAACATGTGCTAGTTTATTTCTTCTGTTGAACACAAAAGAAGATATTCAGAAGAATGCTGGAAAGAACAGACATCTACTTCCATAGTAGGAATAAAAATAAACAGTAAATCTCCCTTCATGTCCAACAGGAGAAAGAAACACGGTCAGGTTTGGAGCAAGTGATGAGGAAATGAGGACAGACACAACTTGTTTGGGAGAAACTGAACTAAATAAATGCATATAGAACTGTGAACTCCTCATCATTCACTTCAAATAACTCATAAATGAAGCACAAACGATACTCAATATCGATCATCATTTATAAATGAACATCAGTTCATCAGTGTCTGCTCAGCCGGCTGCTCGGTGTGTTTGTTCTGTGTAATGTGTGCTGTCTCTTCATGTGTTTGGACAGGCTGAGCGAGCCTCTACTAATGCAACCGTGTTAGCCTGTGTACACTTCCTCTTCCCTTTCTGACGTGATCAGGTCTACATTACTGTTCCCTGCTGTAGGTTTCTCTCCTCCACACCACAGAGAACCACTGTCTGAGCCTCCAGCGCTACAGCAGTTCATGAGCAGGCTATTACTAAAGCTTTACCAGTGTTCAGTCTCACACCAGACACAGATCATGCAACAGCAAATTAAAGTGATTAAAGAAGTCTAGAATTAAAGTGAACCGTGGTATACCTTGAAAACGGTTATCATCCCATGCCTTATCCTACTAGAATAGGAGTGTTCAAACTCAGTCCTGGAGGGTCGGTGTCCTGCATATTTTAGTTTCAACTCCAGCTGAACACACCTGAACCAGCTGAGCAAGCTCCTTCTAGCTGTACTAAAACTTCCAGCCAAGTGTGTTGAAGAAAGTTGGAGCTAAACTATGCAGTACACCGGCCCTCCAGGACTGAGTTTGGACACCCCTGTACTAAAACATCAAGACTAGACACATCCAATGACCAGACGCAACACGACGTAACAAAACGCAAGCTGTATTAAACTGGTTGCTATTGATTAACATACAGACTGCTGGTGGCAGTAGTTGATCAAAGAGCCACACACAACATTATTGACAAATTTAAAATGTACAAGGTAAACAGGACCAAAACAGTTACGAATTATACACAGCACTACATAACATCAGAATCAAGATTCACTTCCGCAGGATAGAAAAAGAGTCCAATGGAATATTAAAAAGTACAGGTCTATCCAATACTCAAAACAAAACGAAATCAACTCCGAAGGCAACAGAAATGTGCTGAACAGCTTCATAGGGACATACATGCTTTAAGAGGTATTTCATCGACTACTGCGGCTATGAAGTGAGCTTAACATACACAGTTCTGTTAAAAAACATCACACTGGGGAGCTTTAAGATAGTGTGTAGTGTTTCCCAGACAATCAATCAATCAACGCTCGATCTTCGTGTCCAATTAAAACTAATAAAAGTCAGCCATCATCCTGATCCTCAGGGGGATCTGCGCATTACTTCTCTTTCTGAAGGATCACTGTGGGTCGCATTTCCTGAAGCTGCTTGAGTAGGATCTCCAGGACATTGGTAAAAACCTTCTGCACCTCAAACTTGACGTTACTGAGCGAGGTCAGCTTCTGCGGGTTTTTAAACTCCACCAGCTTGAGTGCTTCTCTGGGACGCAGCTCCGCGTCCGCTCTTTTACAGACCACTGTGGCAGTCTTTAGTTGGAAAGTAGTCATTCTTTTGTGTGCATTTCCATTGAGCGGCACTGTTGCCTTTCTCTTCTGGGATGTCTTTGACTCCTGCAGAAACTGAAGGAAGGACACCTCGAAGCCCATGGGCTTGAAGGAGCTGAGCGGCGTGTTTTTACTGGAAGCTTCCTCCTGTATTAAAGTAGTACTGGAGGACGTGGAGTCAGAGTTCAGGTCCGCATAACTGACAGAGGAGCTCCCGGCAATTCCCTGCCGGGTCATCCTTTTAGGTCCAGTGGGCTTGCGCTCTTTCACGTTGCCCTTGCGCGGCCGTCCCCTCCGCCGCTTAACCACCACTGATATCTCTGAGCAGGTGTCTGTAGACGGCTTGCCATCGGACAGATCAGGGTCCTCTGTGCTTTCTTTCCCAGACGTGGGCTTCGAGAACTCAGATTCACTCTGTCCGGGCTCAGCAACTTCCTCGTTTTCAGTAGTCTCGATGGAGCTCTCCTCGGATTTATCGGTGTCGTCGCTTCTGGAAGCGATGCGCTTGTATTTAGACCGGGGGATCTTTTTACAGTAGATGAAGTTGCTTCTCTGTTCTTCCAAGTATTGTTTTGGGAGGCCATGCTGAAGATAATGCTTCATTATATTTCGCTCTGAACTCGTCACCGTTTCACAACCCTTTATCATACATGCGTACTGCAGCTGTAAGCGCTTGGTGCACATGGCGGAGGCTTCTTCCTGCGTTTTCAATATGGGTTTCCCGTATTTGGTCCAGTTGTTGGTGTTGGGCTTCTTCTTTTTAAGGATTGGCTTCTTAATAGACTTCTTGTTCATCGCTCGGTTTTCTTTCTCGACAACATGACTCTGGAACTTCCTGGGACGACCAAGTTTAACCCCAGTCTTGGTTCCACGTGGGCTCATGAGCAAGCGTTTGTACACTTCTTGGTGCTTCTTCATCGTGTGCCGCAGCAGATTTGATCGTGTACTGTACGCGCCTTCGCATCCTTCCATCGGACATCTGAACACCCCCGCCACAGCGTTAACCTTTGAGAGCTGGGTTTCTTTATGCTTTTTGTCAACGTGGCGGATGTACTTCCAGAAACCGGTGAAGGTCTCGGAGCATTCAGACTGATCACACTGAAATCTACCTAGGTTAATGCTGCACATCATGGCACCTGCTTTTTCAAGAGGTAACTTGTGGAGCTGAAGGTAGTGCTGGAGCATGTCTGGAACTGTCTGGAAAATGGAAGAACAGTCTTTGACTTGACACCTGAACTCATCCACCTCCTTGACATCCACATCCAGCTTGTCCTCACGCTCCTCAACTCGGTCCATGTCCTCGGCCTCCTCATCGTTCTGTTCGTCATGGCTGTTGATCTCAAACTTAGGCAAAGCAGACTGATGCACAGCTTTATAATGCAGGATCAGATTATGCTGGATTGTGAATGCCGCCACACAGCCTTGATGAACACACCGATAGGGTCTATAGGGGCTAAAAGCATCATCCGCCTCAGGTTTTTTCTCTTTTATTTTTTTGGGAGATTCTTTCGGCTTGGCCACTTTAGGCTTGCTAGGTTTGGGCTTCTTGTCCAAGGGCAAATTTACTTTGTGAAGCAGTGCTGAAGGATTTTGTGTAAAAGGGGCTATGGGTAGAATCTCTTTAAGTGGAGACAATTGGGCTTGAGCAGGAACAGGGGTAGGAGTGGGAAACCACCCATTTGCATTCTGATCTATTCTCTGAGTCACTGAAGAATGGCTAGACATGATTACTGATGGCTGAACAGCCATCTGATTTACTGTTGGTGTTCCTGCAGCAAGACTTCTACTCTGAGGCACAAAAGCAGACTGTGGGACAAATGGTGGAGGGATGCAATGGGGTGTTTTGACAGTATCTTGTCTCATGGAGCCTGATGGACATGTAACATCTTTCGGCGGTTGACGTGCGTCCACAACTGGAGTGTTTTTAACTGTTCTGGGGACCTCCGGCACTGAGCAAGGGCTGCCTTTATCACTCTCCAGGAGCCGTTGACTGGACTGAGGCCTAATTTTCATCTTCTTTACTTCTTCCTGTGAATAGTTATGAATGGATATGTAATGGGCTTTGAGGTTGGAGTTGCGTGTGAAGGCCTTGGAACATTTTTGACACCTGAAAGGGGCAACATTAAACTGGTCTTTCATTTGCGCAAGCATATCCTCTGTGTAATTGTGCGTCTTGACAAGGTGTTTCATAAGAGCGTCTTTTGTCATAGCACTGTAAGTGCAACCTTTCACATCACACACAAATGGCTTCACGTAACTTGCCTTCACAGTAGGTAAAACCTTGGGCTTAGTAGGCTTAAGCTCTGGCTTAGTAGGCTGTACAGGTATCACAGCGGGATCATCTACAGTTCTGATAACTTCACTAATTTCTCTGTCTAGATCAAGCTTCTCCAGTGCTTTCTGGATTTCTAACACTTCATCGACACTGGTAATTGGTATATTGCTAGGCTGATCGTTGACAGCACCTTCCGGTAGCACAGATGACATGGTGTGATTTAAGCCATCGTTTGGGCTCATTTGTGAAACAGTCTCAACAAGGACGTCAGATGCGTTTACATTAGGTTGCTGCTCACTCTGAGGCGTATTCGTAACCAGGTTTGAGGTACGCTGTAGATCCCCACTGACAGGACTCGACACAGACATTTGTGAGGAGGAACTGTCAACACTTGATCCACGAGGCAGGCTGCTCTTTTTGTGAAACTCTCCAGCTAATATCTGCTCTCGCAATCTTTCTTTGACACTCTTTTCAGACACCATATTTTGAGTGAAGTTTGCCATGGCTGCCAGAAGTCCATCATTTGATAAATCGCTTACATTAATGTTGGGTGTCTTCTCCTTGTTGTCTTTCATTCTGTTTAAAGTTTCATTTTGAAAAACTTGATCTGAGGAACTGCTATTCAGGCTGGATGTAGACCGGTCATCTGCTAGCAGCTGAGTAAGCAAAGGATCACTGACACTGTCGTTAAACAGCGTGCTGGACATCTCAGAATAACTTGGTTGAAGTTGATGTTTGACACTACCTGTGTGCTGTATGACACTGGTTTCAGACAGCCGACTGCTCTGAGCATATGAACCACAGGGGTTTGGCACCATCTGCTGTTCCTGTGCAGAGCCCGCACACGGACTCGACTGGCTTTGCTTGAATGTTCCTCCCATCTGTTTGTCAATGCTAGTGTAAGTGCCATTGGCTTGGGGGAAAGTGACGTTTGGGTACAGCTTCGGATCAAGGGGGCCCTTGATCTGTGGCAGGGTCACATGTGAGGATGGGGCGGGGTGAGGCGAGTTGAGAAGATCAAGAAATGAGCTGGGGAGGTCTGCTGTCAGGTCAGCTTCCTCAAATGGTTTGCAATAAGCGCGCTTAGACAAATGTCCACCCAGAGACTTGGGGCTATTGAATTCTCTGTAACACCTGCAGCAGATGAACTTGCCATCTTTAACAATAGCAGGCCATTTTGTTCTTCTGTTTCGCTTAACTTTTTTGTGCTCCCCATCACTTGACGCATTCCCAGTGTTATCCTGTGAACTTGGAGAACTGCCATTTGATGGGGGAGCATTGTTAGAAAGTGGAAAGCCTACGGTGGTTTCCCTCTCCAACTTCACCAAACACTGAGCGCTGGGTACTGGAGGAAAGGAATCCTCTGCTTGCGGCAGGTAAGCCGCTGAGGACTCTTTGGGAACTGAACTGTTCATAGTGTCTGCATAAGAGGACAACACAGACATCTGAGCAGATCCCAGGTTTGTCTCGGCTGAAGATTGCGCAGTTACCACCGCATTAGGACCCATGACTTGAGTTGAATTGAGTTCGCCAACTGCATGCAGGTCATCATTTGAGGTGTTACTGAGTTTTTGATTGATGTCTGCTCGAGCTGGCACTGGGTAGCCATTACGCTTACTCTGCAGGGTGGTATAGCTTGTGCCTCTCTGCTGTGCATCATCATTGGAAGCTGGGTTCATGTGAGTAAAATGACTGCTAGAAAGAGTGTTCATGCTTTGCGTCATTGAATGACATCTCTGTTGCTGGAGTACTGAATTATTCCTGGGGTCCCACAAGTGGTCTGTTGCCATTTGAGGCTGATTATTACCATTGCCAAGCTGAGAGAGAACAATAGGATCTAATATATTGTCCATTTCATTGGAACGGATGTGCCCTGGGGAAGCGGCGATGTGAGAAGAGACGGAAGGATATTTGGGGTTTGCACAGTTAGATGGGTAGCACGTAGGCTGACTGAGGGATTTCTGTGTTTGAACAGCAGGACGTCTTTGGGCCGGCTGGTCTCGAGGAGTCACAACAGAACTGTGGCCTCCATTTACAGATCGGTGTTTTGAGCGGCCTGCCACATTGTTCTTCTTGGCTAGTTTCCACTGCGTGTAAAAGTCGGGATGAACAGCCTTCATGTGCTTCGTAACACTTCTATACGAGCTATAGTCTCGAGTACAAGTTTCGTGAGGGCATTTGTGTCTCTCTTTCACTTGGACAATCGTTGTGTCTATCGGTTTCACACATTTGTTTTCCAAAACTTGTCCATCGTTTGGTACGGAAGCCATTTGCAAAGGAAGTGTCTGAGAAACGGGAGGAAGCATCTGACCCAGTGAGACGAGCGGTGTTGCGTTGTGTGCAGCCTGTGGTGGAGGCGTCCTTCTACTACTGTGCAGGCTCTGATATGATGCCTGAGATGGAGTTACGGGATTGGGATTGTACTGCCTAAATACTCCATTGTTATATAGTGGAGTAGTAGAAGCAGAGTCTGCCGACTGCAGCTGACCATTAGTTGCTGGGACAGGCAGTAAGTCCTCTAATACACTCTGATATGAAGACGTAGATGGCATGGGATCTGAATTGCTCATCAATGCCTCCAAGAGAGACTCCTCCTGTCTATGTGGTTTTAACCGAGACGCGCGAGTCCCCTCAGTTGACTTGCCGGGGTGGTCATTGATCTGAGGGATGTGCTGGTGGGTGGGAAGTTGATCAGGTTTACTTGTCCCAGGTTGAACACAGTCAGCAGAAACTGCAAATTCGCTATTTAGCATGTTTTCAACAGAATGCTTGACTATGACCATGCCTGATTGGCGATCTTCTTCAGACTCTGCGCCTCTGTCATTTAAATCCATGACTGAGAGAGGGTCAGGCTGGGCTGAGTCCTGCTCTGTTTGATTGCATTGTTCTGGGTGAGGTTCTGCTGGTTCAATACTTTGACTCTCAGTGTTTTTGCTTTCCACTTTTGTGATGTGGCTCTCGGCATGGAGGTCCAACTCAGACTGTGAATGAAACACTTTACCACAGTCTGGTGCTTTGCAGGTAAATGTTTTGTAATGCTGTGCCTCATGGTCATACAGTTTATAGGCTTCGTGAAAAATCTTGCCGCATCCTGGAAACATGCACCTAGCCTTGAAGACAGTGTGTTCTTTCTTATGCACGATGAGCTCTGTGTTGGAGTTGAAGCTGGCTTTGCAGTTAAGCTGAATGCAAATGTAGGGTTTGATGCCGCAGTGCATCTGCAGGTGATCGTTCAGGTGGTCGACGCTGACAAACTGGCGACGGCAGTACTGGCACACTATTTTAGTGCTCTGCATTTCAAGGAAGCGCTTGGCTTCTTCATTGTCGCCATGATCTTTCACGTGGGCAATGAGATTGCGGAAATATTTAAATCCCTTCCTGCAGTACTGCACTGGACAAGTATTCCCTTCACCTCCAAAGCCCTCGGAGTCATTGCTGCCCTTACTACTCAGCTTGTTGGCCTGCCCACCGCTGCTGCTTTTTGTCTTGGGCTTACGCACCTGATTTTCACTGCTCTTAGCTTTCAGGGAGGGTATGTCCGGAGTGGCTGTTTTGGGGCTGGCTAGCTGCTTGCTAGTCTTCATTGCAGCGAGACGCTCTTTGCAAGACAGTTTCACATGCGATGCAACATGTGGTTCAAGAGTCTCTTTAGTTTCAAAGGTCTCCAAACATATCGGGCAGAAGTAGCTTCCATCTTTGAAGTGAGTCACTGCATGACGCACTATTCGATGACCGAGAAACTCCTTGTCGCACAAAACACAGTACTGCATGTAGGCCTGCCAGTTTCTAAACCTAGCGGAAACGAAGCCCTTTTCTCGCAACTTCTTCATCTCTCTGTTCTTCTGCTTCTGATCTGCCATATCATTCAGTTCATTTGTTGTGTCTAAAAAACACTGAGACATATCCTTGAAGTCCTCGTTAAATTCCCCCAGGCCTTCAAGGTCTCCATCGTTCAGTTCATCAATGGAGGACACTATTGAGGCCTCCTCTCCCATAAGTCCTAAACAGTGGCGTTTTAAGGCCTTCCAGTTCCAGTACTCGGGGTCGAAAGGCCACTGGGTTTTGAGGACTAACAGGAGCTCACAGCGCAGCGAGTTTGATACCAGCAGATCTTCCACGTCCAGCTTCTGGTCTGGCTCATTGTAGAGAGTCTCCACTGCATAGTACGAGTCCACGGTGGGCTCCAGGAGAAACTCCGTCAGCTGGCAGGCCCTTTTCACCTCCAGGTCAGAGGGTAAGAGGCAAGAAATGGTTTTGCAGACAGTGGCTTTGGTGCTTCCTTCACATGAATCCAATCGCAGGGCGCGGATGCAGATCTCAACACAGGTTGGAAGTCCAACTTTGCCCATCTGTTGACATTAGGGAAAAAATATTAACAATAAGAAGTATAAGTAACAGATCTGATCATGTTTAAAGGGGCAGTTTAGATATAAAAGTACATTTTGCCCTCATTTATTCATCATCAACTTATGTTAGAAACCAGTTTCCTCCTTCTGTTGAACACAAAGGAAGATATACTGAAGAATGCTGGAAAAAACAGCCAGGGACATCCACAGCTCAGCTTTCCCAACATTCTTCATAATATCTTATTTTGTGTTCAATAGAAAAGGAAACTGATCAGTTTAGAAGCACTGGAGAAAATGCTGAGGAAATGTTCGTTTCGTTACCAACAGCTGTAAGTGTGAACAGGCACAGCTCACCTCTGTTTGGATGAATTTAATGAAGAAGAGTAGGTGGAACACAGTTTTAGACAGGAACGACATCTGACGGCATCTGTCCAAAAAGCCTTGCTCTGAAGGCTCTAACCGCTTGAGCAGGTTCCCCCAGAACAGAGTCAACTCCCTGCCAGAAAACATACAACATCTCTGAGTGTCTAGATCTAAAACGACACATTAAATCAAGCAGACTTTATTATAACCGCAGAATTCTTATTTGTAATGCAAAAGAAATCTTGATTGTTTTCCTAGCAGTGGCAATGTTTTAACCTACCAAGCACAGTAGGAATCCTCCTGCAGAATCTGACGTGTCAAAAAAGCAGAGCACAATGTGAACGCAGCCTTCTCCTCGCCGTCAGCCTCGAGGTTACAAATCATCTCTAAAGCATCACGGCAGTCCACTTTCGAGAGCTGGAAAGGAAGAGAAAGAAATCAGGGGTGTAAATGCTGTATTTGTAAATCTGTCTACTGCTGTATGTATGAAAACAAGCAGCCATGATGTGACACTTGTTATGAATCTGCTGAACAGAGTCGTGGCAAATAGAAAACAAGTCATGCATTGCTTTTCTCTCTTGAATTGAGATTAGATTTGAACAGTAGATGGTGCTGTATGCTTTACAAACAGCCAGTGAGGTCACACAGAATGCATTTTCCCTCTCCACTGCTCTGCCTTTCTGTTGGTTTTCAGACATAGGCTTTGCGTCTTTTGTGCCAGTTTTTATACACCGTGTAAAGTTGAAAGTTCCTGAACTTTCACACACAGAGCAGCTCATCACTGTCAGGTCCAAAAGCAGTGGACCAATCAGAAGATCTTAGAGGCGGGGCGACCATTGCAAGCATCTGTTTATAGTATAGTAGAAAGCCAGCATGACAAATGCTTTTACCATTATATCATCGTTGTAGCTGATTTATTTGATGCATCTTCATGTGCTTATCATAACATACTGTTTTATATTTCTAATGGGTTTGTTATTGTCATTACATCACCTTCATGATGTTCCATCACGTGGACCTCAAGCTATGCTTTTTTAAAACACATTCCTGAGCGCCGCGTTAAGATGCATTGGGTGAGAATGAGCCCACTCTCTGCTTGCATCCAATGGGTCTATATCAGGGGTGCCCAAACTCGGTCCTGCAGGGCCGGTGTCCTGGAGAGTTCAGCTCCAACCTTAATCAAACACACCTGAAGCAGCTGATCAAGCTCTTCCTTTGTATTCTAGAAACATCCTGGCAGGTGTGTTGAAGCAAGTTGGAGCTAAACTCTGAAGGACACCGGCTGTCCAGGACCGAGTTTGGGCACCCCTGGTGTATTTGCACAGCTAGTGCAGGGTTCATATGCATTTTCACTACTAAAATTCCATGACTTTTCCAAGACTTTCAATTTCACGCCCTTCCTTTAAAAGCATGGATGTTGTAATGTAATTAAAATACAATCAGTTAAACAGACTTCAGCATTCATTTAGTTGTTCAAGTGTTAATAATAGACGAAAGACCGTTTACATGCAGGCGCCATCATTAGCTGCAGGCGAGAACAGAAACCCCATTGAAAATACTGGAGCTTCCACAGACCATAGTGACGTTTAACTGATTGAAATCTCGATTGCTGACTGCATATTTTTGATATGTGGAGACCTAATATGGGGGGATTGTCGTCATTAAGTCGATGACATGATTACGTTGTAGTTTAAGAACCGGTGAACAGTTTTGTGAAATCCGAAAAGATCTGATTAGTGAAAAGATCTGATCTTCCCCTCACTAATTCTTCATGAACAGTCTCTTACCTCTTCCATTACGACGTCCTGTGGAGCAACCGTGCACAAACACACCAGGTGCATCTGCTTGAAGTGTCCCTTCTCCTCAAACTGGGAGAGGTCCGCACAGGCCTTGGCCAGCGCCGCAGCCTGATCCGCTCGGCCCTCCTTCATCAGCTGCTTCAGCCGCATGCGCAGCAGCGTCGGCCCCTCCGCCTTCAGGAACTCGTGCACTACACAGAAAACAGCACACAGGTCAGCCGGCCAACTCAGACTAACATGACTGTTAAATGAGGATGAGGACAGCACCTTCCTCCCCGGCCGGCGTCTCACTGGACAGGATCGCCTGCAGGGTCGGGTTACTCCAGACGCCCTGCTCTCTGGCGATGGTGGAGAGGATGGTCAGATGGCTGATTCCCTTCTCCTGAACCAGAGGATGAGCGATCTGCACACACACACACACACACACACACACACACACACACACACACACACACACACACACACACACACACACACACACACACACACACACACACACACACACACACACACACACACACACACACACACACACACACACACACACACACACACACACACACACACACACACACACACACACACACACACACACAATAAGATGCACAGTTCTGGAACCCACACTGCAAGCGGCAGACCGGTCAATGCTATAAGGGGCTATTTAATTATTAACTAAGACTTTTACAGTTTTATATTGTATATGTTTGTGTTTAGTTCTATACCATCACAGGTATTTTGCATTAATCTGCAGATTTATTTATTTATTTAATAAAATTCTGCACTGAAAAAAAAAAAACTCCAGAAGATTCTGACTGTAATCCATATTTCCAACACTAATTCACTCAAATCTCCACCAGTTTCCCTTTCCTTGCACTTAATATGCTTTCTTTGGATATGCTGCACAATTGGTTTGGTCCAGATGCCAGGATGTTGATCAGGGTAAATAAATTAAAGTAATTAATCACTATTTACATAATTAAAACAGTATTTAAACTTAAACTTTTCTAATTGTTTTGTCTGACGAGTAGTTTAATTACTTGACTAAATGAATTTGGATAGATGTAAATGCATAGACAAATGAACAAAAATGCTTTAAATCTTGCTAAAAAAAAAAACGCACGACTGGTTGACCATCGTTCATCATTTCAGTATTAGCATGCATTAGTTTCCTATACTAAACAACAACAATAGAGACAGCCTGCTAAATGTACCTGGACGGATGTCCTAAACCTGTCCCACAATGCATCTGGGATATTCCGCGGCAGAGAAAGCAGCAGCTCTGCACAACTCCTGCAGAAGAAAGACCCTCAGTTAATGAACAAGCTAAATGAAGCTTCAGAGAGAGAGAAGAGATGAAGATGAGCTCACAGCGAGAGTCTCTCCAGCAGCAGCGGCACCTCCTCACACTGCGCCGACAGCAGCGGACAGGCCTGAGCGAAGCTGAGCAGCGCCGTGATGTACACCTCCAGCACCGGCAGGGGCTCATCCTCAATCCTCCACAGGCTGGCGTACTCTAGCAGCGTCTGAAACCAAACAGCACTCACGTAAACACCACTGAAACAAGCAGAGCGCCAACTTCAGGTGTACTCGCATTAGGCACGGCTGCCTTGAACCGTGCCCGGGTGCGACTGTCCCCCCTCCCCGAATGGCCTGCACTCACACTGCACTCACCTCATCACTGACGCTCGGCCCAGTTTAACAGGGAAGCGCTCTCGCTCAGCACAGTGGACACTGCTTTAGTTCTATTGTTAAGTTGTTTAGTCACAGACAAATGTTTTGCTGAACAGATCCAGCACTTCTGATGCAGATAAATGCTCATGAAAGAGTTGGGTGAATTATTGCGCCTCAGAGAACGAAACACAATCAATGCGGTGGCTTTGGGAAGAGTGAGACGGGAGCGCAGACAGATGCTCAAGACTGTACTGGAGGGAATAATAATAGAAGAAGAAGAATACTGAAGCACTGATGACGGAGGCCTGAGACCCTCAAACACCCAATTATATATATATATATATACACAGTTGAGGTCAGAATTATATGCCCCCTTCAAATTTTTTTCTTCTTTTTTTAAATATTTTCCAAATGATGTTGAACAGTTTGAGGAAATTTTCACAGTGTGTCTGATATTATTTTTTCTTCTGGAGAAAGTCTTATTTGCTTTGTTTCGGCAAGAATAAAAGTAGTTAATTTTTTTTAACACCATTTTAGCGACAAAATCATTAGCCTCTTTAAGCTATATTTTTTCTCGATAGTCTACAGAACAAACCACTGTTATACAATAACCTGCCTAATTACCCTAACCTGCCTAGTTACCCTAATTACCCCAGTTGAGCCTTTAAATGTCACTTTAAGCTGTATAGAAGAATATCTAGTAAAATATTATTTACTGTCATGATGGTAAAGATAAAATAAATCATTTATTAGAAATGAGTTTTTAAAACTATTGTTTAGAAATATGCTGAAAAAATTTCTCCCTGTTAAACAGAAATTGAGGAAAAAATAAATAAGCGCTCTAATAATTCAGGGGGACGAATAATTCTGACTTCAACTGTATATATATATATATATATATATATATATAATTCAACTAATATGACAATTATTCAGATGTTTAAACATATTTAAGAATCAAATACAGACACACAGACATTATCAAGACATGTCAGGGTAAAGACGTTATTGCTAACAGAAAATAAAAATAAATGTTTTTTCCGTCATTTGTTCTGTTTTAAACTCTTAAGGCTGATTTATACTTCTGCCTCAAGTACACATGTATGCTACGGCGCAGCCTACACGACGCATAGCCCTACGCCATGGCCGTCGCTGACGTGCACCTCTCAGAAAATGTAACTACACGTCGCACTGATGCGTAGCGCAAGCTCTGTGATTGGTCAGCTTGGTAGCCCTGACGAATCAGGGCGGAACCGAGAGCTGCGCGAGCCTGATGCAGCGATTGTTTACAAGTGTGGAGTCGCGTGAAGGAGCTCCGGATGGAAAGTTTTGTTCTGCGTTTACCTCATAGTTAAAGTTGTTGCACGTCCGCCAGTTCCTGCCTCAATATGAGCGAGTTTGAGCCACTTGTACATCCCGGAAGTGTTCAGAAAAAAACAAAACACCAGCGAAGAATCTCGACACAGAGACACATTTACACCTCACTGCCCACTAGCGTTTCAGAAGTGTTAATGCAGACCAACAGAGACAGCAGCAGAAGTATAAATGCACAGCAACCGGCGTTGCATGCGCCGTGGGTTACGCCGGTCACTTGACGCAGAAGTATAAACCAGGCTTAAATGTTTGCATCTAGATCATTCTTTTTTATTTTAATAGCTCAGAAAATTATCTATAACCTGTTTTTTTTTTTAGTATAATCATTACATAAGTACATTTTTAAACTGATGATGACACAACATTTCAAAAGTTAGTTATATCATGAGACACTCTACACTACTGCATATGTCCCAGTATCATGCAGACCTACTCAACACTGACAAACCAGAACAGGAGGCGTTTACGATGGCTTCAAGCGTCACAAGTGTACAGGGTAGGCATGGGCCGGTGTAATATTCTGACGATATGATGACCTTCGATAAACATATCAGTTTTATGAACCTTCTGTTGTACTCTGTGTAAATAATTTGTTTAAAAATTTTTAAAAATTAATCAAATAATAACAGTAATGCACACACAAACCTAGACTTCTCCAAATCACAGTTACCCTCGAAACTGGTTATCATCCCATGCCTAGTGCAGGCCATGTGCGTTTGCAGTGGGATAATGGATGATCTTGTTAGTTTAAATGAAGCATCGGCATCTCATATTGCCATTTCCAGCGGCCAGATCCATCACTTGATGAAGCATTTCCACTTTAAAATCTCCCAGAAGAGGCAGGCGTAATCAATCCATCACATGTGGGACCCTTTAAGACTCATCTCATGTGTTCTGACTGTGGCCATCAAATATAACAGCTATAATCCAGACTCCACACTGCAGATCCTGCGACGAGACTACTGTGGATGATCACAGCGAGATAATAGCATGTATTGTGCAGCCCTAACAAGCATCTAAAGTGCCCAAGACATTCAAATCAAGAGTTTAGATGTTCATATATCAGTGTTGTTAGTGTTTAGGATATCTATAAGCTAGTGTGCTCCAAAACAGAGACATCATTCTCATGTAGAGGATATACCCCTGATATAAACATGTAGAGCTTGCAGTTTGTCTCTTCCACCTAAACGAATCCCTAATTTCTTTGCTGTCGCCGTATAGTTCGGTTTCTCATCAAATCTTCTGACCAATCAAATGCTCTCTAGTGTCTGACATGCCCCGCCCCCTTCTCATTTGATGTGCTTGAGCTCAACCAATGGCAGAGCGGTGATAAAACAAAATGCTATTGGCCATTTTTTTAAAAAGGGGAGGAGCTACTCTGCGAATCGTTTCAGTTGAGATTACGACAAACATCCAATAATAATGCACATTTCAGAGCACCTTACAGGAGATTAAAGACAGAATTTTCATTTATATTTAAACTATTCGTTTAATCTGTAATCCTGACACCACGTGACTGTGGAAGTGTTGCTGCGTTATGATCTGCCACTCACTAGATACAATAACAGTGATGAAATGCAGTGAGAGACGAGCGATGTGCAGAGATGATGCGGTGTGTTATAATAATAATCATCATAATCAGCCAATCCCTGCACATCTTCACAGCTGCTGATCTGTGCAGATAGTTATAGATCATGATGGAGGAGGAGGAGTGCAGGAATAATGTATGATCCCGTTTGTACTGTCAGTGAGCGATGCAGATGCTCAGCTGTGAGGGAAGCTTTACAAGTGTGTGTGTGTGTGTGTGTGTGTGTGTGTGTGTGTGTGTGTTTAATGTATTGGCATTGAAATGTGTGTCGAACAGACCTCAGTTCTGAAATACACATCTCTAATGTGTGTGTGTGTGATGGTGGTGTTCAGCTGTGTATGCGTTTATGTATGCGCGTATGTATGTATGTACACTTTGATGTCGGTGGTCAGCTGTGTGTGTGTGTGTGTGTGTGTGTGTATTTCTACATTTATTTGGGTGTGTGTGCGCACAACATTGGTGATCAGCACATGGTAATCAGCTTTTGTGTGTTTACATGTGTGTATGTTATGATCAACTGCATGGTTGTGTATTTATATATATATATAGGTGAGATAGTGGTCATCTGTGTGTGTGTGTGTGTGTGTGTGAGTAATGGTCAACTGTATGTGCGATTATAGATGAGTGTGTGTATAACGGTGGTGATCAGCTGTGTGTGTGTGTTTACATATATGTGTGTGTTATGGTCAGCTGCATCGGTGTGTATTTATATGTGTGCGATGGTGGTCAGCTGTGTGTGTGTGTGTGTGTGTGTGTGTGTGTGTGTGTGTGTGTGTGTGTGTGTGTGTTTGTGCGCGCGCCCTGCTCTCCTGCAGCTGTGCGTGCGCTGCGTGCTTGTTTACAATGCTGCACACCGGACCTGAAAGAGACACCGAGCGCCCGCACAGTAGCGGCGGGCAGCGGGGACTCGGTGTGCGGTGGATTGTGAGCTGATCGGCGGGTTTACCGGAGGCTGCGTGTGTTTGTGTGTTCTTGTGTGTGTTTATGTGTGGTGTCGGCAGGCAGCGGCGCGGCGGATCTGCGCTCACCTGACAGAACTGATAGCAGTATTGCGACGCGGACTCCTCCGCGGGCTCCGCGCGGTCCTCCAGCGCACCCCTGATCTCCTGCAGCCGCGTCGCGAGCGCCTGCAACGCGCTGGAAGTGTCGCTCCGCGCGCTGCGCTCCTGCTCGGCCTCCTCGTCCGCCATCTTCACTTACAATTCCGCCGCGTACGCACAGCCTGTCACGTGACGCCAAATCACTGTGCGTGCTGACGTACAGACGAAGTCACGTGAGCGAGACGTCACTGAGGCTCTGCGCTCGAGTGTTGATCTTGTAAGTGATGCTGTGTGCATAACCCCACTCCTCCTCTCACACTGAACAACTGGAACTGATCACCGCTAAAGCAGAGATATCACTCTATATATTGATGATTTATTTGATTCATCTTAAAGATTGTTTTTATTCATTCATTTTCCAGGGGTCGCCTCAACGGAATGAACCATCAACTATTCCAGCATATGTTTTACACAGCGGATACCCTTCCAGCTGCAACCCAGTACTGGGAAACTATAATCATAATTATAGTGATAATAATAAAAGTTAATAATAAATAGTCAAGGCGATGCGGTAGTGCTGTCGCCTCGCAGCAAGAAGGTCGCTGGTTTGAGTCTCGGCTGGGTCAGTGGGTGTTTCTGTGTGGAGTTTGCATGTTCTCCCTGTGTTGGCGTGGGTTTCCTCCGGGTGCTCCGGTTTCCCCCACAGTCCAAACACATGCGCTATAGGGGAATTAGGTAGGCTGAATTGACCGTAGTGTATGAGTGTGAATGGATGCTTTCCAGTGATGGGTTGCAGCTGGAAGGGCATCCGCTGCATGAATCATATGCTGAATATATTGGCGGTTCATTCCACTGTGGTGACCTCTGATTAATAAAGGGATTAAGCCGAAAAGAAAATGAATGAATGACACAATTAGTGTTTAATTTGTCCCTGGTGAGCCACATATTTCCACAAAAGTGGATCATTTCAGTGTCAGTGTAAGTTGTTGAGTAGTACCATTGTTCCAGATCACTATACTGTCCATTTAATACCTCATTTCAGACGACTTAGAGACAAACTCCGCGATTCCCTCCTCTGACCAGCAGAGGGCGCCCTCACCTGAATATGGACGGGCTTCTCACTCGCTCTGCACTACATTTCCCATCAACCCCATACCTGCGCTGATTACCGCTCCTTCTGAGATCTATCTACAGGAGGCAGACTGTTTTACTCACGCTCCTTCTTTTGTCACCCTGCCTTCCTACCGTCTGTGATGGTTGTGATGGCGCCTTTTGCACTGTGCTATGTGGATTTCAGCAGTGATGGTGAAATGAAGCTTTCCCTTCAGGAGGGTCGTGAAGAGGTTCATTACTCGACGCACAGCGCACAATACCGACATCTTGTGGTGAAAAGCGGAACGGAGGAGTCAATGCAGTGAGCAGAATTATGTTTACCTTTTCTGCTTTATAAAAAACAATCAATTAATAATACCTCATGTGTGGATGATGAATTTATGAAAGTATAATGGAGCTTCTACAGAGACAGGTGAAGATGGAAGCAGCTTCTGAATCTGCTTTGATCAATACATGAAGCCTTATTCATATAAACCTCAGCCTTAAGCCCTGGGGCCTGTTCCATAAACCAAGCTTAGAGAATAAGCCAGGCTTATGTTGGTAAGTCGGGTTTATTAATGGCAGATTCTGTTTTATAAATCAAATTTATGATAGTTCAAACTCAGTTACTCTGGCAACTCATGCTGGGACACTAGCCTGGTCCAGGGCAGGATAACTCTCCGGCTTAGTCAAGTTCAAGCTTAATCAAAGTAATGTGAACATTCACCTGCTGTAATTTGATACCATTTTATTTCACGTAACCTCTTAATACGTTAAAAACTTTAGTCACTTATATATATACACACACACACACACCAAACATCTTTAAGAGTAGAAGAATACATTTAAATTAAAATAAGTGCAAACAAAACAAACTACAACATTTCAACTCGTTTTTAAAATGTTTATGCCTGTTTATTCATTCATTCATTTTCTTTTCGGCTTAGTCCTTTTAATAATCTGCGGTTGCCACAGCAGAATGAACCGCCAACTTATCCAGCATATGTTTTACGCCCCTACTTTCATGATAATCCATACAAAGATTCAACACAGGCCTACATCAGATAGTCATTTAAAATCGATTGAATAATTTTACATTGCGAGGTTAACTAAATGCTTTATATATTTACATGTAGAAATGTTCATAATAATTAATATTAATGATACACTAGCATTACTCATAAACACTTCATAAAAACAGATTCACTCTTCTCCAGCAGGTGGCGCCAGTAGTACTGCAGGAATAACAGCTCGATTTCATAAACTACACCGCATCCCAATATCCGCAGATTAAATTCAGGCAAACTTGAGCATAATCAAAAACTATATTAAAAACAAAAGACTTTTAAATAAATTTTGAGGGGCTAGCTTAAATTTCTTGATATTGATACATCAATATTTAATACTTTTTAAGACCCTGTTGACACCCGGATCAAAACATAGTCACATAAACATTTAAACACTTATTTAATTGTAATAAGCAGATTTTGTAAAAGACTGGATTACTTTAGTTTAAACCTCATCATCACTTTTGAAAATTGTTTAGATTTAGTTAAGATCATGTTCTAAACTCAATTAAATACTGTACATACAAAATTATTATTAATGATGACTAAAGCATTCATATATCCTTAATAACTCACTCTTTCAGCAGGTGCGCCAATCGCAGCAAAACGTTCATATATACAGCTGAAGTCAGAATTATTCACCCCCCTTTTGATTTTTATTTTATATTTGTATTTTTGTATATTTTTATATATTAATGTATTATATATATTATATTATATAATATAATATATATAATTATATATATTATGTATTTTTTATATTAATGTTAAGCACCTTGGGTCTGAGAGTAGCGCAATTTCGATTCTCTATATGTCTTGTACATGTGGTTGAATTGACAATAAAGCTGACTTTGACTTTGACTATTTCTAACAGATTCAGGAAATGTTCACAGTATGTCTAATAATATTTATTCTTCTGGAAAAAGTCTTATTTGTTTTATTTGGGCTAGAGTAAAAGCAGTTTTTAATTTTTTAAACAGCCTTTTAAGGTCAATATTAGCTCTTTTAGCTATATTTGTTTTCGATAGTCTACAGAACAAACCATCCTTATACAAAACTTGCCTAATTACCCTAACCTGGGCAATTGGCAAAGAGAAAATAAATCAGTAATTAGAAATGAGTAATTAAAACAATTAGGATCAGAAATGTGCTGGAGAAATCTCTCTGTTAAACAGAAATATGAGGGGCGAATAATTAATAATAAAAGTGTCACCTTAAGGGAAAGGCTGTGGGTTTGCCACCATGAGTTCATTTCTGTATAAAAACCTGCAAAAATGGGCTGAAGTTGCAGAATAATAGTGCAGGTAAACACATGTACATTTACTAAAGATAGACCTGGAAGTGGAGGATTCTAAACCCAAAACTGATATCTGAACCAAACTGTGTGTTTGTCGGCAGAATGTGGGATGGGAAGGCTCGTGGGCTGCTACAGAATTCCTCCCTGTTTCTGCAGTACAGTAGACACAATGTGTGTGCCAGTAGCTGCATACACACTCATGATCTGCTGACCTTTCACCTCCAACACTTTGAACTCTGGGATGAATAGACTCATTGACAGACAGGCGAAGGCGTTCCTCTGTCCGTCCTCAATACTGTCTGTTCTTTATTCCATTACTGAGACACAAATAAACGGCTTGCTGTTGTGTGTTATGGGCTCTTCGCTCCTCCACATCTGCTGTTAATTAGCACAGACTGTGTCGAAATCCCTGCTCCAGCTCCAAATGGAGAAAAAACATGCCGAGTGAGCAGAACACACAGTGAACGCTCCATTCCTGCAGATTAACAACAAATCCACGTCAAATAAAACTTAAAATCCTTTATTCACATATGAAAACATCAAGCAACACGGGTTACACATGCATACATTCATCTTTAATAATAGTTTTAGAGGGTTTTCAGCTTTATTTGGACAGCACAGTAGTGATAGCAGACAGGAAAGTATTGGGAGCAGAGAGAGTGGACGGGTCAGCAAAGGACCTCGAGCCGGGAATCAAACTCGGGTCACCATGAGCACCATGATGCTGTATGTCGGCGCACTTAACCACTAGGCTACTGGCGCAGACACACATGGATGCCTCATATACATGAACAAATACATTCACAAAGCTTTACCTTGAAAAACAAACACTTTCATGCATCTGCGCTGCGCATGCACAAACTTTGCGTACACCAGGTTTCATGATCACGTTTGGATTCACTAACAATGAAATGAGCGTGAGAATGTGTGTCGGTCCATGCCAACGTAATGTCTAGCGTATGTACGTGTGTTTCTTGTGTGTGTGTGTGTGTTTGTTTTATTTCCATTGGCGCCTCCTAGAGGCAGTTGTGTTAAATTGCACACTACACAGTATGGCACCAACACGTGTGAAGAACATTGCTGCTCATTAATAATTGATCAAATGAGTTATTTGACACACTTTTTTTTTGTTTTGATTTAGAACATATAAAAGCATTTGCAGATGTACACAACCCTTATTAGAGCACATTGTCAATGGACGAGTCTGAAATCTCCAAGATACAGTGATGGCCATTCTCCACTCGGTCAGCTGTAGAGCGGGCGATTGGGCAGCTGAAATGCCGGTGGTGCTGCCTTGATAAGAGCGGAGGACTGCTGCTATACCGCCCTGACAGTGTTCCTCTAACACATCTGTGTCTCCCACAGACACGGGCACTACTGCAGGCAGTAAAGTGAGGCAACGCTCTCCTCAATGGGTGTTAGTTCAGCATCCCCTGTTCCTCCGCCTGCTCTCTCCGCGGTGCGCCGCTGTTCTCTTCACCTGCACCTTTACATAAGACCATTTCTTTTTTAAATTCATTCACGGTGTGATGTTCATGCCCCATAATAATTGACCTACTCTTTAGAAGTGTTCTGCCTTTTCACAGTGGATGTATTTATCCTAGCTAACGCTTCCCCATCTTACCCTGCTCATTTGCGTCGCATCCAGCTGCAGATTCATCAATTCATTTCCTGCTTATTCAGGTGGATGTGTGACTGATCTATTTACAGACAGGAACACAACCAGACTCAACA